CATGTCGTTCGAATGGACACCGACGCTCCAGCTCTGAAAGTATTCAACTCGGAACCCGCTGGTGGTAGCAGAGGAAGAGGGAGGCCCCCACTGCGATGGAAAGATCAGGTGGAGAAGGACTTGGCTTCACTTGGCGTTTCCAATTGGCGTCAGTTGGCACAGAGGAGAAACGACTGGCGTGCTTTGCTGAACTCGGCCAAAATCGCTTAGGCGGTTACAGCGCCAAAAAAGAAGAAGAAGAAGAAATGGAGAGGGAAATTTTTGTTTTCGTATATGAGCCATTCTTTTTTAAGTCGGACGGATTTCGTAAAAAAAAATTATGTCATGTCTCCGATTCGCTTCAATGGGTTCGCTTTATGGGTTCTATACATGAAATAAGCTAACACGTTTTCGACAAATTTTTATATTTTTTTTCTTCTGAGATATGATCTGTCAAAGTTTGCAGTTTTTCGTGATTCTGACTAATCATATACTACTTCAAATCGTCATATCTCAGGTTCTGCGCATCGTAGAGAAAAGTTGTGGAACAAATATTGGTAATGAAGCGATATTCTGCCGAAATCCGCAATAAAATCTGAGTTTTGCTAACTTTAGTACTGCAATTGCCACGCCCATTTGTAGGGGTTTGTCGCCTTAAAGAAAAATCTTGCCGTACAAATATTATATATGGATAGGTATTCTATCGGAGACCGCAATAAAATTTTAATTTTTGCAAAAACCCGATGTTTAACACCTTATTCAATATATCTCAACATCAGTTTTCGAAAATAAATTACAAAAATATGTTGATTCTCACAAAAAAAAAACCTCTCGTCATAAAAAAAAAATAGTTTAATAGTTCTTGAAAAACTCCCAATTTTTTAAAAAATGTATTTTATAGAGAATTAAGCAAGGAATACGATGGTGTAATTTTAAACCCTAATTTACTGGTCTCCACTATGCAAATGATCTTCTAAAAGATTAATTGTTAATAGCCAAGTTAGCTTTGGGAAAATCTTGATTACCTTGTATAAGCCCGTTTCTTTAGCTTTAAAACGACGTTAAGATGAATTCTCCGCGATACGCAGAACCCGAGATATACTGATTTGCAGTAGTACATTAAAAAAATTCCTATCACCCTAGTTCCATCTCCAGCAATTGTAGAGGAAGAGCTTCAGTTGCCGAATAGAGATTCACGTTATTTTGGCACAACTACGGTCAAGATACTATAGGAGGTTAAACTCCAACCTATCCAGACTAGACCCCTGTGCCTAAAGTTATTTGAGCTTATGTAAATGGTTGAAAGATTATCCAATTCTAGGCAGGATTAATCTACTAAAAAACTTTTTTATTAAATAAAAGATTCATTTTAAGCATCTTCATTAGATATTTTTGTAACTTCTTTATTTCGTTTTCAGACATTAGTTTTAATTAAAGTTTGATTCATGTGTAATAAAAACATGTTTAGGACTTCACATCTCCAGTGATGGTACCCAAGTCCTTCGCCTTTTCTTTCTTTCTGATCGCCTCCCTTCGCTTCTTATGCTTATTGGATTTTAAATGCAGCTGCCATTGGAATTCGCCTATGAAGTGTCGCTGGCAGGATTTACAATAGTTGCTGATCTGAAATTATGTACATAAGTTCAATATTCAACATTAGGAAGTGTTTATTTGAAATTAAAATAAACCAATAAGCACTAAAGTGAAGTCAAGCGGTAAAAGTGGTATCACCATGAATTGTTTATTTTTTACCACCACCTTAACTTACCTCCTCATTGAGTCCCGCACCCGGATGCTGTCGTCGCGTCATTGGTTGTATCTCACACACCACCCCACTTCGATAGCTTTCGATCACCGCCACAGCACGCGCATACACTTCCGCTTGCCAGAGCTTTACATCACTCGTATCGAGCTCATACAAATCTGGTACTTGACGATCCTCACTGCCCAAAAACCGATTATTAATCCACTTAATTTGCTTCTTAGAGTAGCGTTGTGTAACCAACTTCAATTCGTTCAAACATGAGTTTAGCACATCCAGACCAGCAGGTAAAGCTGGACTTTTATTTGTAGGGACAGTGGTATTTGATCCCAATTCTAATTCAACTTCTCTGTCGAGTTCGTGCTGTGCTTGGCTTGAAGTTGCTGATTCGTTTTCGTTTTCTTTTTGTTTTTGTGACTCTGTAGCCCGTGTTACGTTTATTGAACTCGGCTTTTGTGCTTTGAAGTGCTCTGCATGCGTATAATATAAATATACAGATATGCGAATGAGTCATTGTACAATCGAAATCCAGTCATCCAACAGTTGTTAAGTATACATATGTTAAAAAAAATTAAATATTAAAGAAATAAAAGGTTATGATTCCTCATCTGTGTTAGCATTTAAATCTGTGGGAAAATTACGCCCTGTTCTTATTTTTATTTAAAATTATGTATGTAAGATACATGTATTGATCAATAGTGTTGGTAGGTACACAGATAAAATATGGAGTTAGTTCCAATCTGAAGAGTTTCGGTTAAATTGTATGAACCTCAACTAAATGAACAAACAGATCGGAGAAAAAACTGAAACTTTGGGTTATAGTTGCTGTAATGGCATTAATCCAAACCTGTAGAGGTCGATGATTTTATCGAAGTATTCACAATTTATTTGTAATAACGATTTTCCTTTGCCACCTGACGTAAGTGTTGACCGATCCCTAAGACTGACATTAAAAGCCTGCTGTTTGTCAGTCGAAGCCAATGGATAGGCGGTTTTACTACGAGGCACTCCCTAGGATGGTCCCTGAGGAATACCAAGGCGCAAGATGTTATACTCCTTCACTTGAACCTCTCTCTACAGGTGGTGCTTTGGCGGTTAAAGAAGGCATATTGTGCCGGTACCTATTGCGGCGATTTGACAGATCTAAGTCTCTTTCACTGCCCCCAGCTAGATTCTGGGTTCCTTATTAGCGCAGCACACTTTTTTTTTGACGACAATAACACAAAGGCAAAGCTCGGCCAAACACTAACATATGTGTAAGCGCCAATCTATTATTATTATATAACACAAAGGCAATGCGTACAAAAAACAGTATCTATTGAAAAACCTAGCTATGTATGTAGACCTTCTGAGATTGAGAGCAACGTCAGTTTCACCTGCAGCCCTCGAAACCTTTTATCAATGCTGTGCGAAATATTCACCCAGTTTCTGCCGGTGAATTCGATGATCAAAAGTGGATCCAAATCCCAAACCCGCGTCCGCTTTGTAGCCTAAAGGCTAGTATGCAGCTCTCAAGAAAACGGTCAAGAAAAAAATTGCCATTATTTTGTGTGTGTGTCCAAGGAATTTTGACAACTGATACTTCATCAGCCTGTTGCCTCGTTCTTTCCTCAAGAAATAATGGAACGGGCATATATCTCTGTTGCAAGAATGGGTTGCCTTGTGCTCTTTTTTCACAAATTTCTTAAGAACTGCGTATTGCCTCAAGAAAATTTTACACAAGAAAATTTCTTAGCCATTTCTTGTACGTCATTTTATATGGAGTTTTTGCTTTTCTTGAGAGCTGCATACTGGTATATAAGCAGAAGTTCTACAACTCCAATTCTGTCTCATCGAGCACGACATTGTAGTATTTCTTCAGCTTCTTGAGGCATTTAAAAGACATTATTAAAGTCTAAACCTCTGTCTACACCGAATTCCGCCTCACTCCACATGGTATCATACTAGCACGCATTTCTTGTAAGTCTAAA